CGTATTGGGCATATAGGGTTAGAGCTATATTTTATTGACCAGTTAACAGTGTTTTTTTTTTAACAGCAGAACATCTGGGTGGAAGACGTAGGGAAAACCAATAAGGAGATGGATAAACGATGTAGATGAAACCTCCAAAACGATGAACAAATCCATCCCACAGGCCAAGCGAGAAATGCTAGACAAATACAGAAAACCACGACACTAGGTGATGGATTTGTTAATCTTATTTTGCAGGTTTCGGCTACACCATTTATCCATCTCTATCTTGGTCTTCCTCCCAGATGTTTTGATGTAAAAAGTCTCATATGCAGTTTGGTCTGACTGCATCCTCGCTAGATGGCTGAACCATTTCATTCTTTGTCTGTCCATATAATCCAGACATGGTCTTATTCCGACTCTCTCTCTAATGCTGATATTCATAACCCTGTGTCATCTAGTGTTGTTAGTGACCTTGCGGAGACAGCGCATTTCACATGTAGTTATTTTCTGTTCTAGTGCCCTATTCATTGTCTGTTAGGTGGAAGCTAGTGCCCTAGTCATTGTTTGTTAGGGGGCAGGGGCCGAATCTCACCCCATGAAAATCAGGCCTTGGAACCCACATACGGTTAAAAAAATTTGTTTAGAACAATGTGACCGACCATAATCAGGATCTGGTAGATATCTACTTCGATTAAGTGACCAACAGATTAAGGACAAAAAGGCTAAGCGGTCGACAAATATAAATAGATGGCTTGGCCCTATGACAGAATCTGGACAAGAATAATGTAATACTTTATCCTAGTTATGCCCTTCTCTAGACGTGCCTAAATAAAGTGAACTGTTTTCTTCTGACATTTAGCGATGTAGAGATGGAATATTTGAGTCTATGAATACCAGCATCTGTATAGCATATATCAAACAGCAAGGAAATCAAAGTACAATTTTTAGAGTATGCATATTCCCTGTAGCAGCATATGGATGTGAGTCTTGGACTATCTCACAGTTGTGAAGGGAAACAAATAGTGCCTTCCGAGCTGAAATGATATAGAAAGATTCTCAGAATACCGTGGACAAAGAGGGCAAGAAATATACTGACATTCGAAAAGATCTGCAGACTGACTAATATACAACATCTTGTCTCAGAAGCTGAAATATTTTAGCCATATCAAGCACTCCGACGGTGAACTGGACAAAAAATAGAAGACATGATACTGTACGAGGAAGGAGAGGCAGGGGCCGGCCAACGTGAAGATGAGCACGAGATATAAGTAACTCCTTGGTTATAAAATTGTATGAGGCGAGAGAGCTAACGAGAGACCGAGTTTCTGTCAAGCAGACCATGATGAGAGCGACATTCTGCAAAGGACCTGCTACAAGATGATAGTGATAGAGAAAACAACTCAGGAGGCAGTAGACATCCGTGTCTGACAGTTTTTTCTAATAATCACCCACACCGGATCTAGACTTCAGGTTACCATGTAACCGCCAGCTGCCCCAATATAACTGCTATACAAATGAACAAGGTTTTGGTATTTGTTCCTGTCTGATTCTTACACATGAGATGCTAATCTCTGCAGGATCCAGTCCTGGAGGTGACAAACGTCCCACCTTCTTTATGCATGACAATGTTTCTGTTTGGCTTCTTCTTTGTTCGCCGGCGATAAGCTTTTCACGAACTGCTGAAAAATGTGTCAAGCGCAGAGCTGGTTAGAGAACACGACACACACATCATGTTTGTAACTGACTCAGAAAGCATGCTGAGGAAGATCAGAACAGGTATACTTCGTGCAGAGTGGCATGCTTCGCTGCGGAGGACACGGGTGTGGAGTATTGTCTGGATTTTTTCACCGGGTAACGCCGGTGTGTTGGGAAATGAACAGGCGGACAGTCAGGCTGGCTCTGCACAACTTTGTGGAATACTGATACACGATAAGGCAGACGTGGTTATGGCCTTGTGGGAGAGCGTGGACAAGTTCGGAGAAGCAGATGGATTACTAGTCTGGTGAGATTGATGCAGCTGGGATTACAAGAGGTTCTTGCAGATGCTCGAGGCTCAGAGGAAAGGCAAGGCGGACATTTAATCAGAATGCTACTGGCACTTTTAGTATCGGAACTCTTCGCTGACTGCTGAAGATGGGGGCGGAGCGCTTATGGTAATGCCCCGAGTGCTGTGATGTCGGCTCTAAGCTCCGCTGGAAAGTCCTGGTTGTTCGTCCATTTGGACTTTGGTGTTGTTCTAAGGCCTGAGTTTTGCGTGTACATTAATTTTACTGACTTATTTGTGTGCAGTTGGTTGTTCCTTGCCGCTTGGTTGGATGCACTCGGACTTTGAAGAAAGCCCACAATTAGTCGACCTACAACCTACTTGTTGGGGAGGCAGTAGGTGGACTGTTTCCCCCCACACTGGGAGCCCTGGAAGCCACACAGGGAATTTGGCAGACAATTCTTACAGCTTGTAAAGACAAAGTAACAGTGTTACCTTTCTCAGCGCTTGAACAAGGAAAAGGAGCACCAAAAGTGATTTCAGTCAATTTATTTATCTATTATATCATCTGATCTGTGGCTATGAAAAAGTAAACTGGCTGACCTCTAGAGAACGTTAACCCTTGATAGTCTGACTCTATCAGTGCCAATCATCTTATCATACATTTATCATGACAAAAACGACACTAACAATAGACTGCACAATTTATTGCCTGGCAATCAAATTTAAAATCAGTGAATCAGCCATATGCTCATGCGGACTGGCACCTGAGACAACAGATCGGGTCCTCCAAGACTGTCCCAAATACAACATATCAAGACAAAACTTTTGGCCAAGAGAAACATCGGTGCGAGTCAAACTTTATGTGTCGCTGAGTGAACTACAAAAGACAGTGAAGTTCATACTAGAGACAACTTTGCAGATATAGATAATTTATTTCAAGCGAACGAAAGAATAAGAATTGCCTGGCATATTTTGCTGTCTCATCAGGTGAATACTACAAAAACAATTATACAAATGAAGCAAATAAGTGAATCCTTTGTTAACCGAAGTATAAATTTAAACACGCTCAAAAGCAACTGCCTGTTTTACCAGTGCAAACTACATCCATCAGATAGGTCTGCACTATTACTGGACGAAGCAATCTCATGTTAACAAAACAACACCGCCTTGCCTGGGCCGGACTTGAGCTTACACTGTAACCGTGGGGGGCGTTATAACAGTATAACCTCGTAACTGAACAAGGATTCTGGGATTTGTACCTGTGGGATTCACATCCGAGTAATGACACACTGCACTTTGTGTCATCTTCTTCTGCCTTCCATCCCAAAATGGGGCACAGGCCTTCAACCAACTCACGTCAAGTCATTTTATCGTTCAGTATTGCATGCAGCTCTTCCTATGTTCTCCCCATCTTTGTAACTTCATTCTCTAGCTCCCTTCTCTGTGTGATTTTTGGTTTTCCTTTACATCTATGCCCCTGTGGGTTCCAGTGCAAAGACATTCTAGTTATATTGCTCTGATCTTTTCCCAACGTGTGTCCTATACAGCACCAGTGTCTTTTCTTCACCTCCTGGTCCACTGGAACTTGTTTGCACTTTGCGTCACTGGGTGTTAATCACTCTGTGTGCGATCCTAGTGGGGCACAACTTCCTCCACTCACTCACTCATGTAACGAAAGCCTCCAAGATCTGCACAAGACAGCCAAGTTTTAGCAGAAAACACTTACAGACCGAGAATGATTCTAAGCAAAGAAACGATCTGTAAACATTGTGATTGTTGTAGACTTGTGTTGTCTGTAGGGGGTTCGATAATAAGATATGTGTACATAGCCATGACTGCAACTGGTCTGACATCAAAAGTGAATGAACGTGATATGAGGACTAGGGTTTCTGAAACATTTCTGTTAGTCTGAATCCCGTATTTCCTGAGCTTCTCAGTCATATTTTGCAGTCACTAACTTTTGACACCGACTGAATGTTTACTTATTTTGCTCAGATGAAAGCAATATTGGGGTTTCCACACAGTTTTTTTTATGGCTGTTAACTTTACAGTGTCCCGCTAACTTTAGTATCCCACAGCTTTACAGTTTCCCGTTAACTTTACAGTAGCCTGTTAACTCAACAGTGTCCTGTTACCACAATGTGAAAACTGATTATGGTCCTGTTACCACAATGTGAAAACTGATTGTTGTCCTGTTACCACAGTGTGAAAACTGATTGTTGTCCTGTTACCTTAATGTGATAACTGATTGTTGTCCTGTTACCACAATGTGAAAACTGATTGATGTCCTGTTACCACAATATGAAAACTGATTGTTGTCCTTTTACCACAATGTGAAAACTGATTGATGTCCTTTTACCACAATGTGAAAACTGATTGTTGTTTTTTTACCACAATATGAAAACTGATTGTTGTCCTGTTACCACAATGTGAAAACTGATTGTTGTCCTGTTACCACAATGTGAAAACTGATTGTTGTTATGTTACCTTAATGTGAAAACTGATTGTTGTCCTGTTACCTTAATGTGAAAACTGATTGCTGTCCTGTTACCACAATATGAAAACTGATTGTTGTCCTGTTACCTTAATGTGAAAACTGATTGTTGTCCTGTTACCACAATGTGAAAACTGATTGTTGTCCTGTTACCACAATGTGAAAACTGATTGTTGTCCTGCTTATTTAATGGATGCTGTCACTGGATTTTGGTAGGGGAGGGTTGAGAATAAAAATCTGGGAAGCTGTTAATGTCTGTAAACATAAACTGGAAGAAAATAATCAGACAGATCAAACAGGCCATAACTAGGCTACAGGTAAATTCAACAGACAAAATTATCGAGTGTTGTATACAAAACAGGTCATGGCAGCCTACGCGAAAGACTGTCACAGACCTAATTATTTTTATTTTCAGTCGAAAACATGAAAATTGTCTCATAGTCGGAAACTCCATTAAAACATTTCGGCAGGAAATTGTACAAGTGCTTACAACAAGACCAACAAACAATAGAACAAGAGAATGCCAGGTTGATGGTGTCAGTCATCATCATCATCATCTGCGCCAGCACCATGACTGTGCTGAAGGCCACCAAACACTTGAGATGGAATATTTTGCTGCTGCACTTCCATTTCTGTTGGATGAAAAGATGACAGTAGGTAGCGTCATCATCATTGTAACATGACAGTAGGTAGCGTCATCATCATTGTAACATGACAGTAGGTAGTGTCATCATCATTATAACATGACAGTAGGTAGTATCATCATCATTGTAACATGACAGTAGGTAGTGTCATCATCATTGTAACATGACAGTAGGTAGTGTCATCATCATTGTAACATGACAGTAGGTAGTGTCATCATCATTGTAACATGACAGTAGGTAGTGTCATCATCATTATAACATGACAGTAGGTAGTATCATCATCATTGTAACATGACAGTAGGTAGTGTCATCATCATTGTAACATGACAGTAGGTAGTGTCATCATCATTGTAACATGACAGTAGGTAGTGTCATCATCATTGTAACATGACAGTAGGTAGTGTCATCATCATTGTAACATGACAGTGGGTAGTGTCATCATTATTGTAACATGACAGTGGGTAGTGTCATCATCATTGTAACATGACAGTGGGTAGTGTCATCATCATTGTAACATGACAGTAGGTAGTGTCATCATCATTGTAACATGACAGTAGTTAGTGTCATCATCATTGTAACATGACAGATCAGGCACAGAACACATATTTTATCACTTTCTCTATCATAACAGTAACATGACAGATCAGGCACAGAACACATATCTTAACCCTTTCATCATCATCATTGTAACATGACAGATCAGGCACAGAACACATATCCTAACCCTTTCATCATCATCATTGTAACATGACAGATCAGGCACTGAACACATATCTTAACCCTTTCACCATTGTAACATGACAGATCAGGCACAGAACACATATCTTAACCCTTTCACCATCATCATTGTAACATGACAGATCAGGCACAGAACACATATCTTAACCCTTTCACCATTGTAACATGACAGATCAGGCACAGAACACATATCTTAACCCTTTCACCATCATCATTGTAACATGACAGATCAGGCACAGAACACATATCTTAACCCTTTCACCATTGTAACATGACAGATCAGGCACAGAACACATATCTTAACCCTTTCACCATCATCATTGTAACATGACAGATCAGGCACATAATACATATCTTAACCCTTTCACCATTGTAACATGACAGATCAGGCACAGAACACATATCTTAACCCTTTCACCATCATCATTGTAACATGACAGATCAGGCACAGAACACATATCTTAACCCTTTCACCATCATCATTGTAACATGACAGATCAGGCACAGAACACATATCTTAACCCTTTCACCATCATCATTGTAACATGACAGATCAGGCACAGAACACATATCTTAACCCTTTCACCAACATCATCATTGTAACATGACAGATCAGGCACAGAACACATATCTTAACCCTTTCATCGTCATCATCATCAACATGTAGCAGATCCTTTGCAGAAGGTGCGAAAAAGGGTTCTTTCCTGTTAATGATAGTATTTCTATTTAATATTGACACCTAAGCTGCTACACTTGCCACCTCTGCGTGATATACAAGCAGCTTCTTTCTAGCATTTGTTACTACATTCAGACGTCCTAGATCTCTACATGGAACACAGGAAAGTGACAGCAGGCTGGCATAATGCCGTCCTCATCCCTTCTCAAATGCCGGTTGGTTTAGAGAAATACTTGTCTAACACCACATGCCCAATCTACCAGTGGCGTGGAAATGGTCTTCTCCTACATTTATGGATCCTTTCCCACACCATTAAGCATATGGGCGATACCGTGCTAGATCTAAATTATTAGATCAATCAGCACTTGGTGGGTGATGTGGTCCACAACACGCTGGCCGCCTCTACTTCCCAGGATTTTCCCTGGAACACATTTAAGGCTGGGAGACAAGGTCATATTTGAAAAAAAAAAAATCTATCCATGAAAGCATGACCTTTGGATCTGTAGGTGAGCATCTAGCCACTACACCGTGGTGGCTTCCCGTTCAGGACAACAAGTGAAACACAGCTGCATGAATCATTCTTACCTTCCACTTCTTCATCATCATCAGACCCATCCTCCTCATCATCAATGTTGATTTCCTCGGGGTTGTTTGTCTTAGTGAGGTCACCCAGCTCCTCTTCTGTGTTGCTGCCTCTGTACAGATACAGTGTAAATACAAGTTAGTCAGGCTATCTACTTAGTCAATTATCATTTGTATTGTCTCACAAGATAGTTCTATAATGTACATACAGGTTAGTCAAGCTATCTACTTAGTCATTTATAATTTGTACTGTCTCACAAGATAGTTCTATAATGTATATACAAGTTAGTCAGGCTATCTACTTAGTCATTTATAATTTGTACTGTCTCACAAGATAGTTCTATAATGTACATACAAGTTAGTCAGGTTATCTACTTAGTTATTTATAATTTGTACTGTCTCACAAGATAGTTCTATAATGTATATACAAGTTAGTCAGGTTATCTACTTAGTCGTTTATAATTTGTACTGTCTCACAAGATAGTTCTATAATGTATATACAAGTTAGTCAGGTTATCTACTTAGTCGTTTATAATTTGTACTGTCTCACAAGATAGTTCTATAATGTATATACAAGTTAGTCAAGCTATCTACTTAGTGGTTTATAATTTGTACTGTCTCACATGATAGTTCTATAATGTCTGTACAATGTCAAACTGTGTAATGTAAAGGGGGCTTCATTCAAAGTGCGCCCACCTGTGAGGCAAGGCATCAACAACCTGCATATAAATATGCCAGATCTGTAAAACAGATGTGCATGGAATACTCAATTTCTGGACCAAAACTTAAATCCAGAGGTGGACAAACAACCAGAACTTTCTGCTGGAGTTTAGAGCCAAGGTGCTCCATTCTCCACCCCAAAAGTTTGACAAGTGTAAAAAGATTATTGATGCCTGTTCTATGTTGATGTAATGTCTTGTCCTGTCAGTGAAATGTTCATTTCTTGCAGCTCCAGGTTGCACTCCTATGTTCCGTCGATGGAAATGAAAGAGCTGACAGGTTGGCTGGATCCGCTTTCACTACCGCCGGTCAGCCTATGGATCATGCTGATATTATCAATGCCCTCAGAGAAATGGGAAGAATGGAGGACTTCGGTGGCAGTGAATGCACATCACTCGCCAGAATGGCAGACTTGGGAATTAAGATCGGCACAGCAAAAAACGAGACGCACAACAGACACGCCAGAAGACTTGTTAATCAACATAGAACTGGTACTATTAGCCATCGGACGTTGGGGTTCATACTGAGGGGAGGATCTGAGCACCTATGGACATGTCCGGAGTGCAATGAGGATAAACCAACTAACTAACTGACTGACTAACTAACTAACTCCTATGTTCACCAGCACAGATTGGGATATAGAGTTATGGCTTTTATCTTCGTGGTAAGTGCTGCGCATGGCACTGACAACATCCCTTCTGTCCACTGACAACATCCCTTCTGTCCACTGACAACATCCCTTCTGTCCACTGACAACATCCCTTCTGTCCACTGACAACATCCCTTCTGTCCACTGACAACATCCCTTCTGTCCACTGACAACATCCCTTCTGTCCACTGACAACATCCCTTCTGTCCACTGACAACATCCCTTCTGTCCACTGACAACATCCCTTCTGTCCACTGACAACATCCCTTCTGTCCACTAATATATGAGCCATAACAACCACAGTGTTATCAGAGGAGTCTGCCAAACTGGGACCTTACTGCCTCTGTTATTAGCCATAGTCAGCTGAAGTGAAGGAAATGAAGAACAAGAAGAAACAGGAGACCACATGTCACTAGTTATCTCACCTGACAAACAGAAGCTTTTTCTCAGCCTGTGCCTTCTCTTGGAGGGATTCCCGTGCCAACTGGCGTGCTCTTGCTTCCAGCTGCTGCATCTCATCTCCCTCTTCTGGAGAGAAAACAGAAACGTATTGTCATATTTCTGAGTTGTTTAATTTTTATTTCAAAGTTACTGATAGCAAAATTCAAGGACATTTGTCCTTCTTTGAACTTTTCCAGGACTTTTGAAGGCCTTGATAGGGCAAGCTGCAAGGGATTTTCAAGGAATCAAGGGTTACTACAAGTCCTGCATCCAAAATCAAAGACACAGCCACCTTCATTATTTATCTAAAGGCTCTGAGCCTGAAAGAAAATAACATAAACTTATTTAACACATCAGAAAGAGCACACAGCAGATCATTACATCTTCCTCCCCGTGTGGGTTTCCGGACCTCCCAGTGAAGAAAACAAGGACAGATCCACTTCTTCTTCTTCTTCACTTCCTCTTTTACCGCTGTGGGTGTCGAGGGAGATATAAGGTTCTGTTTCTAGCTCTTCTGGCTGCCTCGACCATAGGCACATCGTGCTGTTGTAGAGTTTCTCTGATGTTATCCTTCCATCTTGTTCTTGGTCTACCCCGTGCTCTACGTCCTTCTTCTCTTTCCATGTATGCTTTGTAACAGACCCACTGCTTTTCCAAAAACATATCATAGGAATCGACTAGCTGGGAGCTTCCTTCTAAGTCCGAGTGTACTTGCCTGAGAGACAATGAATCAGCAGTCTACAAATAATCCAGATCTGTTAAATGAATGTACATGCAACATTTAGGTTCTGGAACACGACTCAAGTCCTAGGGTAGACAAATAACCAGAACTTTCTGCGGCATTAACAGCCGGTGAACATGAAGAAGAAGAAGAAGATTACATCTTCCCCAATGCTTCGATGGGGTAACTAGAAGAACACCTAAAGTCTCTCCCTCTAGGCATTAGGTCGGAATGAATGTGCTGACAATCTGGTAATCTTAGTTTAAGCTACATAGTAATCGGGTCACCTCATAATTGCTTTGCTGCTGTACCAACAACAAAACAGAGAGAATGAATGTCCATCACTGTCCTTTGTGGAAAATATGACGCAAAAAGAAGACTTAGTTTATTCAGTACAAGCATTAAAAGCATAAGGCAAACTTCAGAAGTGCTAACACAAACAGTCCGACATTAGAAATTCAGTTCATCATTGATGGAAGCAGCAGATACAAACAGACCAGCAGTTGCACACGCAATCAATTTTAATCACTTAAGTACCATTCTGGCTCCCACTGCTGGTCTTAGCTTGGAGAAAGAAAGGAAAGCTCTGCAACACAATCACTCTGAAGATGCTACTCTGGTAAAAGGTTTAAGAATACGTTAGTCTCATATCAAGAGACACAAACTACGGTGCCCTGGTCACCAATCAATGAACAAAAAGTTCAACCCAGAGATTTCATAATCAACTAGCAAACCACCTGTAGGCTGAATTATGAGCGGTTATCCCTGTAGCTGTTCCTCCATCTCGCCTCCTGTCCTCTATAAACAGTGGCCACACAATTTAAAGTATTCCCACACAAAAACACTTTAAATGGTATTGTCTGTTCCAAGAGGAAGTTACCAGTTTTAATATTCTGGGATGGTGTTTCTCACTCAGAAAACAAAAATGTATATTTAAGAATTGCAACATCAAAAAATTGGGTTGAGGATTGTTTTTTTGTTGTTTTAAAAATGAGATCACAGACTCTTTAAATTGGGAACCACTGGTCAAGGGCATTAACTCTCAAAGAACAAGGACACTTACCGAGTGAACCAATATCATTTTTCTTGTTCTGGGCCGCCACCATCTGTGCTGACATAAAGTTGACCTGTAATGGAGACGACATGTTCAAATCCCAAAAGCCCTCAAAACTAGTATTTCAAATGGTTTACTTTGTTCCTATGAGACAACAACATGTAGCTGGTCCTTCGCAGAATGTTGCTTCGACCAGTTGACCAAGAAGTTGATGTCTCTTGACAATTCCCTTTGTATTTTCAGGCTTAAGATGTCTCTAGCGTCCTGTGCCCACCTAGGTGTGCACCTCAGAGGTCAGTGTTATTTGACTTTGGCATGTATTTGTTTACTCTTTTAAAAATCACACCAGAGGGAAAAGTCAAAAGCAAGAGAGCAAAAGGTAGACAATGATACAAGCGGGAAGACAACATGAAGAGACCGACAAACAGCAGTCTGAGAAAATACAATCAAGAGACAGGACCTGTTGGAGATTCATTGCAGCCGACTTTCACTGTGTAGACAGCATCTGATTAATTAATGATTGTATCTGCTTCAGGTATGCTTTGTCTAGACCAGCTCCATTCAACTGGCAGCCTGTAGGCTGAATCTGGCCCTCAACTGACAGCCTGCAGGCCAAATCTGGCCCTCAACTGGCAGCCTGCAGGCCGAATCTGGCCCTCAACTGACAGCCTGCAGGCCAAACATGGCCCTCAACTGGCAGCCTGCAGGCCGAATCTGGCCCTCAACTGACAGCCTGCAGGCTAAACATGGCTCTCAACTGGCAGCCTGCAGGCTAAACATGGCCCTCAACTGGCAGCCTGCAGGCCGAATCTGGCCCTCAACTGACAGCCTGCAGGCTAAATCTGGCAGCCTGTAGCCCAAATCTGGCCCTCAACTGGCAGCCTGCAGGCCGAATCTGGCCCTCAACTGACAGCCTGCAGGCCAAACATGGCCCTCAACTGACAGCCTGCAGGCTAAACATGGCCCTCAACTGGCAGCCTGCAGGCTAAACATGGCCCTCAACTGACAGCCTGCAGGCCAAACATGGCCCTCAACTGACAGCCTGCAGGCTAAATCTGGCCCTCAACTGACAGCCTGCAGCCCAAATCTGGCCCTCAACTGGCAGCCTGCAGGCAGAATCTGGCCCTCAACTGACAGCCTGCAGGCTAAATCTGGCCTTCAACTGGCAGCCTGCAGGCTAAATCTGGCAGCCTGCAGGCTAAATCTGGCACTCAACTGGCAGCCTGCAGGTCGAATCTAGCCCTCAAGAGGCCTAGCAAGTGACCCACAATCATTACTAGCTGTTTTGTATTAATGATGTTTCCATGCTCTGGCTTGTGGTCTTTGGCGATCCTACATTTGTAATAGAATTAGGTGAACACTCTATAACTATATATGTTGCTGTTACTATAATCTCCTGTGCTCCACAGAGGTTTCATTCAGGAGTTATAACACAGGAAGCAATGGAACCCCGGCTCAAAACCAGGGATAAAGAGTATGCTGATAAATGCCACAAACCAGTACGTGCCGTAATTGCCTGACGAGATATTTATTTCCCAGCCAGACATATCTAGTTCAATTGTACGATGAAATTGTCAAGATATTATTTCAGCTCCACAGCAGGACAACTGTGCAGGTGAAAGACCAGATACAGATATGAATAACCAGACAATAAACTCAATTAGTTCACACAAACAGACACACACAAAAACATCTCTGGCAGAAAAACTGTCAAAAAGATTTCCCAGGCATAATTAAAATAATCACAAAAATAATGAGTTTAAACATTCTCAGCCAGTCAGGAGATGACTTGAGATTTGCCTACTGCTTAGCTGATTGCAATAAACAGTAAAATTACGTGTCAGCTTTTCCAGATGTAAATTAATTATGGAATCTTATTTGCCTCTAGAATTTAGAATGATAAAATATAGATTTACTAGGATACAGGACCAACTACTCCCAAGGTTGTCTGAGTTCACATAGTTACGCTATAGCAATCACAAAGTTACGCTATAGCAATCACATAGTTACACTAAAGCAATCACATAGTTACACTATAGCAATCACATAGTTACACTATAGCAATCACATAGTTACGCTATAGCAATCACATAGTTACGCTATAGCAATGGAAAAACTATTTAACGACATGCACAGGGACAGTTTGCAGAAAACCCGTTAGTGGTGTTACTGGGAAGCTGTTTCGAGGCAAGTAACATGGCCCCGGACGAACAAGGTGGACAGAAAGATGTGAAGGAACAATGGTAACGTGGGGGAGAGACAAGTGAAAGAAACTATAAGGAAACCAAGGAACACAGACAGATTATAAGGAAGCAAAACGGACCAACTGTCGCCTCAGCCATGAAGGACATGTTTGAGAATAGTAATAATGGAACGAACTACATGACATTTTCTTTCTAAACATGAATTTCAATCAAAGAAGTGGAAGAAATTATTTTTGCTTATCAAGTCCTACTGGGCTGAAGTAGTATAGCACATCCGTAAGTTGTAGTAATTTTAGGCACTACAAAATGGTGGTTGCCAGATTTTTGTAATTTTGACTTGTGAGTGATACCTGTATTGCCTAGTGATTCATGGGATTCCCAAATGTATGTACTAACATTTCTGATAGAATACCTCATACTATATGTGTGCATATATATTCCTGCTGTGCAAAACATAAAAGATAATTAAACAAGAAACATTGCTAAGCAAACACATAGCAAGACTTGGTGTTGTGTGTGTGATAGTTAGCACAAGATATACTTCTTCTTCTTCTTCAGGTTCACCAGCTGTACACTCTGGTGGAAAGTTCTGGTTGTTCGTCCACATCTGAACTGCAGTCCTGCTCCAGAACCTGAGTGTTGCGTGTACTTAGTCAAGAGGACCGATTTCGGAGGACTCATGACAATCAGCATGACAGTTCGAACCTGCTGTTATTCAGGCAGCCACTGCCACACATTTTCAACAATTAGGCCCCTGAAATAATTTTGTGGAATAACCCTGCTGTATACTACATGCACACACACAAACTCCTGACAGCCGGTGCGTGGTACGTACCTGTGTGTTATAGGTAGCTTGGACACTCCTCTTGATTCTCAGCATCTCCCGAACTGTGTCCTCATTGCCATGGTTGATCTCAAACTCCTTCCATGATTCCCAAAACTGTGGCGCCACCTGAACGTAAACAAGATAAATATTCCACATTTTATACTACAGAATTCACAATCAAAAGACTGGTAGATTGTCCATCTGACAATGCAGCAGTTGGGAGAACTGAAATCTGCAATTGCGGTAACCAAAGACTTGCTACATATCTAAGTTATCAGGAATCTTTTTTTTTTCTTTCTCGTTTACAGGATTTAAACTATGACAAAAAGTTGCGGTTGTTCGTCATTTTGTTATTGTTGCTGTTGGCTTTAGTCTTGTTCCAGAACTTGACTTTTGATAGCACATCAGCTTTACAGATCTGGCTTATTAATATGCAGGCTGCTGGTTCCTCCTTGTTAGGCAGATGCACTCCAGCTTCAAAGGAAACACTCATCACTGGTTGCCCATGTTAGCAAAATCTTCCACAATTAAAGCATCGAATTTTAGGACCGTTGTTGCCATCACCTGTATTTAGTGTGTTCTTCTCAGATACTAAACCCTCACCCATTCTGCAATCATTTCTTCCTTTATCATTCTCATTCCATTCCTGATTTGCCAATTTCATACAACACTGTCATTGCATTTTTGCGCCAAGTACTAGGCCAAAAAATGCAATATTAAACAGACCTTCATTATTAAATATCTTTTTCAGTTCTCGTTACGCCTAGTGGCACATGAGGCTTCATAGAGGACTTTCCACGCTTTCCTGTCCTGTGCAATCTTCAGTGCTTCCACTCTCTTTGATTCCATGTAAGTCTGCACTGATCTGTGTATGTCTTTTTATATTATAAATATTGACCCTCTTTTCCCCAAGGATACTACCCCAAACAATACTCACCCTTGGGTCACTGATCTGGGATCCGTGGGCGTAAATAGCTCGGGCTCTATCAATTTCACCCAATTTCTTCTCCAGGTCTGCAAACCTGAGGCACATCTCCCTAATAGCAAATGTAAAACAAAAATAAAAATGTTAATACAAAAATTGTATACATTATGCACGGCTGTAATTTAAAAAAAAAATTTTTTTAACAGTTGTTCCCCTAAATGATTGCAGTCAAAAGGATCAAATCTCAAGGATCAGGAATCCCAGAAACCTGTGTAACCATCCAAGACAGTTATAACGGGGCTCCACAAAACTATTACGAAGTATCTTGTAGACCAGTGTGGGTGGCGAACTGTGAATTAATATTCTCCTGCTATCACCTCCCATTACGGCATACAGCAGTAATATGGAAGCAGATTTTTCAGAAGAACGTTGAAAATATCCTTGCCACAGAAGAACGTTGAGAATATCCTTGCCACAGAAGAACGTTGAGAATATCCTTGCCACAGAAGAATGTTGAGAATATCCTTGCCACAGAAGAACGTTGAGAATATCTTTGCCACAGAAGAACGTTGAGAATATCTTTGCCACAGAAGAACGTTGGGAATATCCTTGCCACAGAAGAACGTTGAGAATATCTTTGCCACAGAAGAAAATAAATGCTGACATACTGAAAGAATTGGTGAAACAGAAATCGTAAAAAGATATGGGAACAAGCTGAATGAAGAATGCAGAGAAAGACAGAAAAAAGAGGCTTGTGGAAAGCTAATCCTGTTAAAAATTAAACAATGTTAACTTCATCAAAATATCAAAGACAGGGAGGATTGCAGAATCATAACTGCTGACACCTCCTGGGGACCAAGCCCTTGAAGATGGAGGAGGGGAAGAAGAAGAAAAACATGAAAATCACATGGTACTAACCTGGCCTGATCATTGGGCAGGATTTCAATAGCTTTTTCGTAGATGCTGCGTGTGTGGGTGACCCCATAGACCAGAGCTGCCTGCTTGATGTAGATGTTCAACATCTGAAACAACAAGACCAGCCACAACTTTACACTCAATACAGACTTCACTGATGAGTCTCTCTTGAGTGTCTAGCTTGGATAGTTGTCCATTGGAAGTTTAAAAATGCTTCTTCTTCTTAGCTTTTATCAGCTGTAAGCCCGGCTATCCGGCACAGTTGGCTAAACCGGACTGCGCGGTGACCGGGTGACAAACTCCTTGTGGTCCGGGTTCACACCTGGGGGTAGGCAGAAAAGCCACATTTCTCCCAGATTAGGGTATTTATCATGGAATCAAGGCCGAAGTGTTGTGATATCCATAATACCGAGCCTAAGTGTTAACAACTCATGGCTTCTGAATACTTAAAAAAATTTTTTTAAATAAATAAAATTGCAGTTGTAAACTCAGGCAGAAAGTTCTGGTTGTTTGTTCACTTCTGGACTTTGGTCTTGTTCCAGAGCTTGATGCCCATCTGTTTGGCAGAGCTGCTGGCTTATTTCATGTAGACTGTTAGGTCCTAAATTAGGCAGATGCAGTCTGACTTTGAAGGAAACACCATTAATTAGTGGCCTTTTATGACATGCTTGTGGGGGGGGGGGGGCAACAGGTCTTCCCCCCCCCCCCCCCCACACCTCCCAAGGGAGTTTTAATACTTGCAGTGGTGTTCAGGTCATTTAAATCCTGAAAATGGTGTGCATTGACGGGAATGAAGTTAGTACAAAGATTTAATTCTCAAACTGGTAACAAAGTGCCAGCTCCCCAGGGAAATATTTCTATTCCTTCTAAAAGCTCATAAATAAGCAGGGCATGTGAGACCAACACTGCAACTTAACATCTGTGAAGTCATACTAGGATGTAACCAGATGACATAGCACCACATATGTAGATTAGCTGGGACAAAAACCTAGGGTGGTCAGATATTTCCATCACAAGTTTTTTAGAATGTCATTGTCAACATGACTTCAAACAATAGAAGCAGCTCTAAGAAGCCCAACAGGCATGCAGGACCTATCTTTTGTGATGACCTGAAAAGGTTAGAAATTCAATCTACAACCCAGAGTTTTGGACAAGAGTGCTAGTATCGGGATCTCTGAATGTATTGTTTTTAGAATGGCCATTATCTGGATGCAAACTGACATTTTTTTAGATAAAGGCGCATGTGTTGGTCAAAGAGTGTAAATATTGAATATTTCCTGAGAGTGGACACAAAATAAGCAAAAGACTGAAGGGGGATGATGAGATTTATTCTAGTGACGGGCCGAGAGACATAACATAATCGATACAGCTAAAGCAATATTGAAAGGCGGCTTTCTTGCATGCTGTAGCAGACCTTGGACACCATGACCCGCATTGTTCTGTAACACAAACAGTCAGGTTATAACGATCCCACAGAGTTTGTAGGACACAGTGGCAATTCCTACTCTCCTAGCAACTTTTTGTATGACTACATATCATGCATCATCAGTTCTGTGGCTAAGTCGATGCAAGCACTTTGTAATGCCAGGATGCCGGGTTCTATCCCAGCTGCAGGCCATGCGCTGGTTTCAACATCAAAGAAGCTGACCGTCCAGAAAGCAATGGCAAACTACTGGACGTAAATTTGCCTAGAAAAACCACCTAACAGCCAGGGGCTGTTGGGGTCGGTTCCGCAACGTCCTGTAAAGAATACACAACTAACCTATATATCATGCAGCCATGATAATGTTCTCTATCTGTCAACACTGAACAAGCATTTTCACTGGGCTTTGGCTAAAATGGTAAATCTTGCAAACATACCCACTGCCTGCTCCTTCCAGAAAGTGGGTGACATGTGTTCACTAAAGTCATTTGCCCATAAAATGCTAATTTCAGCAATGTTATCAACAGCCTTTGCCACATTTTGAAGCATTTTCAAGCATGCATTATTTCCCTTTCCATCATGCAGATTTGACTCACCTTGGAGGAACCCACATGATTTACTGTAAGATTAACAAACACTGTAACAAAATGCAGCAAAACTTCTTTGGCTAAGTGTTCAGGTTTACAAGAAAAAGACAGGTTGGTTCAAATTACCTAAATATTGAAAGTGGCCTTTCCATTTTGTTTTAGCAGTATATAGAATGAGAACAGGAGGTCATACACACACAAAATAAGCTGAAGGGGAACTTGAGAAAGGACATAAGAGTGCATGGGCATTTACAGCTCGCTATTCAGACACAACAGTTCAGGAGGCCAGCGGTGTCTTCATCACCAGCAGCATGACGATGGAGGTGATGGCGGTGACACAGGCTTTCATGTGGCTGGGATCACAGGACTATTCCCGCGTGTGTGTGCTGAGTGATTCTTTGAGCATGATCCGGCAGGTCGAGGCAGACTGGTTACGCAGACAGTGGCTTGAGTCGTTGCAAAATTCTCCTGTGTGCACAGTTACTTTCATATTCGTCCCAGGGCATGCAGGCGTTGTTGGTATTGGTAATGAGAGAGCTGATAGACTGGCAGGTGCTGCATTAATTGAAGATTGCCGCCCCATGGATCACGCAGACATTGTCATTGCCCTTAGAGAGATAGGACGTTCTGAGGATTTTGGAAGCAACGTGTCCCATCACTGCTAAGAATACGCAAATTGGCAGTAAAGATCGGCACAGCCAAGCATGAGAAGCGCACTAAATGCACACAAGGTCTTGTTAAGCAATAAAGTACTGGCACTATTAACCGCACGATGCTGACGAATAAGTTGAAAGGGGAATCTGAGTGCCTATGGATGTGTCCGGAGTGCAGTGAAGATAATCTAACTCATAACTCTAGTCCTGTTCCAGAAACTGAGTATTGCATGCAAATCCATTTTACACGTCTGACGCATCTGAATGCAGACTATTGGTTCCTTGCCTCTCAGGCAGATGTACTCCGATTTTGAAAGAAGCTCCCAATTAGTCGTCTCTTACAAAGTGCTTTTGGACAGACATTGGGTCTATTCTTGTTTTTCCCCACAATGACGCCCCAGAACCCAGACGGGGAAGAACAACAAATGACCGGTACCTCATACTGTTGCTCTGGTAACACAGCTCGGGTGGCTCTGTCGTAGACTGCCATAGCATGCCTGGCCATACCGTGCTCCATCTCCAGCTTGGCATACAGCAGGTAGATTTCTGTCAATGGACACAACCCTGATGTCAGCACCATTATATTATAAAGTACATACTGAAGCAAACACATTCACATTACTATTTAAAATATACAGCGAAACCTCGTTAACACAAACTTGTCTAAGAAGAAAACTCAGTTCACTGTTGTTTTTATAAAGTCACATGGATGTTTACAAAATGCAGATCAGAAACAGTAATATTACAAGAGGCAGGAGGGTGACCAACATAAAGATGGACAGAGGATATAAGTGACACCTTAGGTAGGAAAGTAGACAAGGCAGGAGGGTGACCAACATAAAGATGGACAGAGGATATAAGTGACAAATTAGGTAGGAAAGTAGACAAGGCAGGAGGGTGACCAACATAAAGATGGACAGAGGATATACGTGACACCTTAGGTAGGAAAGTAGACAAGGCAGGAGGGTGACCAACATAAAGATGGACAGAGGATATAAGTGACACCTTAGGTAGGAAAGTAGACAAGGCAAGAGGGTGACCAACATAAAGATGGACAGAGGATATAAATGACGCCTTAGGTAGGAAAGTAGACAAGGCAGGAGGGTGACCAACATAAATATGGACAGAGGATATAAGTGACACCTTAGGTAGGAAAGTAGACAAGGCAGGAGGGTGACCAACATAAATATGGACAGAGGATATGTGACACCTTAGGTAGGAAAGTAGACAAGGCAGGAGGGTGACCAACATAAAGATGGACAGAGGATATAAGTGACACCTTAGGTAGGAAAGTAGACAAGGCAGAAGGGTGACCAACATAAATATGGACAGAGTATATAAGTGACACCTTAGGTAGGAAAGTAGACACGGCAGGAGGGTGACCAACATAAAGATGGACAGAGGATATGTGACACCTTAGGTAGGAAAGTAGACAAGGCAGGAGGGTGACCAACATAAAGATGGACAGAGGATATAAGTGACACCTTAGGTAGGAAAGTAGACAAGACAGGAGGGTGACCAACATAAATATGGACAGAGTATATAAGTGACACCTTAGGTAGGAAAGTAGACACGGCAGGAGGGTGACCAACATAAAGATGGACAGAGGATATAAGTGACACCTTAGGTAGGAAAGTAGACAAGGCAGGAGGGTGACCAACATAAAGATGGACAGAGGATATAAGTGACACCTTAGGTAGGAAAGTAGACAAGGCAGGAAGATGACCAACATAAAGATGGACAGAGGATATAAGTGACACCTTAGGTAGGAAAGTAGACAAGGCAGGAGGGTGACCAACATAAATATGGACAGAGGATATAAGTGACACCTTAGGTAGGAAAGTAGACAAGGTGGGAGGACTGGTGAGAGACTGAGTTTCTTTCAGGCTGACTGTGATGGGAGCAGTGTTCTTCAAAGGACTGATTTACGAAATAGGAAAAGGGTGGTATACTTAAGCATGGTCATCGTACAGTGAATGCGGCATCAAGTTATCTTGGACAAGACAGAAAAACCTTGTTTTTTATGTGCACATTTCGCATAATAAAAATCCCTCAGTTGCAAATTAAAAAAGAGCAGGTCACTGATAAATTTCATAGTTACTAACTAAACCTACAAACCCATCTCCCTCAAAAAAAAAAACATTTCTACTTTATGCAATTCTCACAAGCTGTTTGTCCTACATCACAGTGAATGTTTATACAGACAAGACTCGCTGCTGTTTATCCGCCAATAAAAAAAAAAAATATACATTGTAAAATGCCAGTAGTATTTTGTTGTCATCTAGATCTGCGGCGTTCTAAGAACTGTTCTGTTACCTTTTCCTTCAGCATTCCATACCCCTGAGGTTGTTTGCTATATTATCTGCCTCTATTGATCTCTGTAACTGGCCATCATCTTTCCAATTGGCGACTCCAAGTGTTTGTATTGCCTGTATATTATCTATCCACATTTCCTTGGTCTACCTCATGCTCTACTCCTCAATGAGCTCTCTTAGTTTTATCATAGACAACTTTTAAAAAAAATCTTTTAGACACTGTTACACTTACTAGACACTGTTACACTTACTAGACACTGTTACACCTACTAGACACTGTTACACCTACTAGACACTGTTACACTTACTAGACACTGTTACACTTACTAGACACTGTTACACTTACTAGACACTGTTACACCTACTAGACACTGTTACACTTACTAGACACTGTTACACTACTAGACACACACTTACTTACACCTTACACCTAGACACTGTTACACCGACTACACTTACTAGACACTACTGACACTTACACTTACTAGACACTGTTACTAGAACACTGTTACACTACTAGACACTGTTACACCTACTAGACACACTGTTACACTTACTAGACACTACTAGTTACACTTACTAGACACACTACTAGTTACACCTACTAGACACTGTTACACCTACTAGACACTGTTACACTTACTAGACACTGTTACACTTACTAGACACTGTTACACCTACTAGACACTGTTACACTTACTAGACACTGTTACACTTACTAGACACTGTTACACTTACTAGACACTGTTACACTTACTAGACACTGTTACACCTACTAGACACTGTTACACTTACTAGACACTGTTACACTTACTAGACACTGTTACACTTACTAGACACACATGTAGGTCGATCTGAATGAATGGTAAAGGTAATATTCACTACAGATGCTGCCCTTGTGAGGTAAAGTGTCAGACTGACAGTTCATATCAGGGCTGTATTTAGATTTATGATGCCCTAAGGTAGATACAGCCATGAGGCCCCTTCTTTTTCTTCTTCTCCTTCAGCATTCGGAGCCCTTGAGGTTCGTTGCTGCAGATATCACCGGCCTAAATTCATCTCTCTAGTTGGCCTGTATGGACATTATCTCTCCATCGTCTTCTTGGTCTGCCTCGTGGTCTACGACCATCCATCTCCCTCGTGTATACTGTTTTCACTTCTCTGTCATCTCATTCTTTCAATATACCCCAGATTTTTCAGTCTGTTAGCTTTCATGAAACCCTAAGCTACATACAGGCATGAGGCCCCTACCATTTTAAATTATACCAGCTAATCTCAACAAGTTAAAATAAATAAAAAGCCTGACATAATATACTCAAAACAATATTAGTAGAATTTGGGGGAGAAAATATATTTTAAAATATTTTTGAATACATCTGCACTTGAAATCAAATTTGTTTGTAAATTTTGTTTGTGGGGAAAAAAAGGTATTTTTGTAAAGGCAACTGCAGACTGAGACTCTAAGCTTGAGGTTATTAAGCTGATGTTTCAATTCTGCACTGGTTCACATGTTCTAGGCCAGGTCATGGGGTGGGGGTGTGGCCTGCTTCTGTCCCCAGCAGCAAATCATGGCTGACTCCGGTAGTTGCCAACACATTCTATGGGTATCTGCAGCAAAGACAGAGGACTTATACTCCACCAAAGCATAATGCAGTCAATCACAATAGAACAGAAAATAAAATTAGTAACCATGGAAATGAGTTGTCCTACAACCTCGCAATGCAGTTCCCTTTAAAAGGAATGACGCTATCATCATCGTCCTTTACATCTCTCTTGTCCCGGCAAGCCTAAAATTCCCTATTTATCAAGCCAATTCTCAAGCCCTATGTGCCTTTATAGTCAATGGATCGCCTCAATGTCTTTTAGCCACCTTTTGCCTCATTTTCTGGAAACTGAACCCTTCATCACCGCTCTCTCTGGGCCACAATGACATTCAACATGACCAAAACACCTCCACTTTGTGACAGGATGCTGTTTATTTTTCATTTCTCCTCAATGCAAAGATCATGTAAGATGTCCATTTTCTCTTCTTCTTCTTCCATTGTACTCTAAGAATATTTGTGTAGCATTTCCGTTTAAAAGCTTCAAATGTTTTCTTCAACGACTAAGTAAAAGTTCATGACATAATCATTTGTAGCCACCGGCAAGATGATGACATCATCAGTTCAGATAATGCTTGTACCCTGCAGAAAACACTTGAAGCTAAAAAAATAGTATTAAAAAAAGGGTACAGCTAAAACACAATCTAACAATAAACTCACGTATCTGGTGATGAACTTGGTCAAGTAGGTGTTCCATAAGTCGTATACATTTGGCCACTTGAACAACGCAATACCCTTCTCATATGCCTGAAAACAACAAATGTCACATGACAACTGATTCCGTCTGCAGACAATCAAACATAAAGGCAAACTCAGAGAGAGACAGTGATGGTCAATGTTACAGCCTGTATACATCCACAAGTGCTTCTCCAAGATGATCCTCACACGCGTGTCTGAGCTTCATCTCGGAGAAGACTGAAGAAGTAGAGAACCGTATTGAATGGATGCTAGAAGTTCCAGTGGGGTTCCGGGGTCTTTTTTTAGAGGGGGAAAATAGAACGGATCCACTGCCTCCTAACAGTGCTGCTGTAACGGGTGACTAATTAGGGAGTGTATCTTTTAAAGTCAAAGTCCATCTGCCTGAGAGTCAAGGAACCAACAGTCTGCATACAAATAAACCAGATCTACAAAATGGATACACTGAAACAGAAAGGACACAAAAATGTATTCAGATTAGAGCTACAAAGACAGAGCAGTTAACAAAAAAGAATTCAATTATCAGAAACTGACTGCACTACAGTCACTACTTTTTTTCATCAAACTTCTTAAAGTTGAGACAGAACAACAAAATGAGGGACAAACCTTGAAAGCTTCCTCATAATAGTTGTTTTCCTCCAGAAACATGGCGTAGTTCATGATGATCTGCGGCGTGGCGATGCGGAGATCGATGATCTTGTCGTACACAGCTTTACATGACTGCAGACAGGAAACGTGAAATACAACGGGCAAGTTTGTAGAAACAAGGATATATCAGATTAACACTTCTTGGTTTCTGAACACTGATGTTTGTGGACAGTGGTCACTATGCCTATATAACAGCCCCAGCACTGGCTGTGACTGCATAGTGTGTAGACTTTTTTTTTTAATCAGAAACCATGAGTTGTAAACCCTTTGGCTTGGTACTACGGATATCACAACCCTTCGGCCTTGATTTCATGATAGGTACCGTAAATCTGGGAGAAAATGTGGCTTTTCTGCCTACCCCGGGAGTGAGCCCGGACCACAAGGAGTTCGTCACCCGGTCACCGTGCAGTCAGGTTTAGCCAACTACGCTAGAGAGCTGGGCAGTGTGTAGACAAAGTGGGTTATATTTATCCAGCAAAACATTTTTAGATATTACTAGGTTGTTTTTTTATGATGTTTTTAAAATTATGACATTGTTACATTATAATAATCTGATATGATGTCACGTTGCTTCACATGGTTAAGTCAACAAAACAATGTTTGTCTTTGTTAAATGGAAGGAAAGCTGTCAACTGTTTGCTTCATATGTATTTAGTGATTATTTTTAGTATGAAAAGTAATACAGATTAATCTGAACTATTTGAGTGATTTGATGGTTGCAATGTAGCTGTGACTTTACACCTGCCTATCTGCTTGGTAGTCTAGGGGTTCAACCCCTAAGAAATTTGGAAAAATTTTAATATAAAAGATGGTTACGGGTGGAAGAGTTAAAAAAAAATACAATAAAAAGTTGCAAAATTCATAATCTGTTTAAATCACTGCTAAATAATGGCACCATAAGAGTTAACAGACTGTTTTGGCTGTGGCATAAAGAGTGAATGACAGTTGAAAGAGAGACCAACAGCAAGTCAACTAAAGAGCTGAACTGGAGCAGACCCAGAAGTTTGTGGACAGATAACATACATGTAGCCCTACAAAGCGGAAAAGAGGTCATCCACAGAGATGGGTGATATGTGCAACAATTAAATTCAAGCGCTAATAATGCTGAAGATGAAGAAAGTAAAATAAGAATTACAAATATAAAATTCCAAACAAAAAGTAATATGGAAATTCAAACATCCACAAACAGTTAAAGAGAAATGGGGAGAGTCTGACAAAACTTCAGAACTTTTAGTAATAATAAACAATTTTTAATTTACAGTGTACAAGAGTGAATAAAAGGGAAAGTAAATCTAAAAATATTAATCCATGACTCATGAAACAATCCATCCTCCTACTGTTAAGGTTATTCGTCACATAGGACTTGCAGTCTATTCCAATCTATCTGGGTTATATTAAAAAGTGTCAACAAAAATACTGACAAAAATAAATGACAGATGTTACAAGAATACACAGGAGATGTTACTAATTAATTAAGAGGATTAACAACAATAATTACCAAATTAAATGACAAGATAATTACAAAATGTAAAAAAAAATTTAAAAAAGAGGATTGTCCAAGACTTATTTAAAAAAATTTTTGTAAGAGGATCAACAAAACTAATTACAAAATTTAAAAAAAAATTGGATTGACAGACTAAATGAAAAAAAAAAAAAAGGATCATCAAAGACTAATTATTAAATTTAAATTAAAAAAAGAGCATTGACAAAGACTAATTACAAGATTTTAAAAAAAGGAATAACCAGAATAAAACTGACAATCCACAAGACTAATTTGGAGATATTACAGATGTGTACCTTGAATGTGCCAAAGCTCTCCTCTAAGTCTGCATACAGCGACCAAACTTTGAGCGACTTGTGAACACGAGCCTGCACGGTTTCTGTCTGAAACAAATACAACAGACACTGTCAACACTGTCCTTATACCTGTGTTTACCACCTTCGGTCCCTGTCTGGGTTCCGGGTTTTACAATATGGGGGGGAGAAGAACAGCCCACTGCCTCCTTCACAAACATGTCGCAGACTAATTAGGGGTGTTTCCTACAAAGACTACCAGAAAGAGAGGAGAAACCAACAGTCTGCATGCAAATAAGCCAGATCTGTAGGGTGGATGTGCACACAAAACCCAAGTTCTGGAACAAGATTTAAGTCCAGAAGTGGACGAACAACCAGAACTTTCCGCCTCAAGTTCACAGTCTGTAAATGCTAAAAAGAACAGTTGTGCAGTGTAGGTATACACTAGTATATCTAAATATACTGTTGAAGTATTTCGCCATATCCTTCTGTACTCAGAAGAAAATCCATCAATCCTCTTCACAAAGTATATGTCTCTATCTTTCTTTATATCATGCTTTTGTGTTCTTTTATGATATTCATAATATACATATCATCATATGACCATAACATGCTTTATTAGTAAAATACAACTGCTGTGTGAAACATGGTTGACTGCAAGGGCCGAATGTAAGACGGGCCTGCGTGCCCAATTTGTGACCCTTTGAAAATAAAGTTTATTCGTTCAACAGGCTCTGCGAGTAAGTTACAACTACGACATAAGCGTACAGCTGGTTCTTAAGCCAATGGAAGGTTGCCGCGACTGCCTCCAAGTCCGTTCTAAAACTAGATGTTGTGGTATCATATGCCAGGCTTTGTTGCGCTCAATGATATCAAATCATCTTTGCTATGAACCCCCAAATATAGACAATAAACCACACCACTCCTGTTTCTGAATTAAACACACAAACTATATACATAATACCATTATGGAGATGGAAGAACATCTAGGAGAACAATCTAACATGCTGAAGAAGCAATTTCACTTGTTATGGGTAAGTCATAAAAGTCTGAAGGCTTCTAAAAGAGGAGCCCAATAGGTCTGGAAACAAGACACCTGCTACACATCTACGTCATGCACCAAGGATAATGGCCAACATCATTACAAACGTTTCTGGCCAGGAATCTCACAGTTGGTGACCCTTAGAGGTACAGTGTACAGAAGCCATAATGCAAAAAACCCAGCACTCATAAGCAACAGTTTAAACAAAACAAAAACAAAAACATCCGATCCATGACATACCTCATCATGATAAGCCACTTGTCGTTTCAATGGTGTTGTTGCTCTCTGCATTAATCTTAGAGCTTCGTCGCTGTTACTGGGGAAAGAAAAATCAGAGAAAATGAAAACCTAAAGTTTAATACAATAATTTTTTTATAAGTGACAATAACAATTCAACAACACATGCTTGTTTAACAAGCAGCAGTACTGCAATTTGATTCCCAGTTAGAAGCAGAAGGCTTCCATGGAGTCAACCTAGCCACAATCTACTGTGACAGTGTCTGCCTAAATGTCTGCAGGTCCAAACAATCATGCCCAGCTGGCCATGATCGCCCTATGGTTAATTCAGCCGTCTTAACTCAATCATATTTAGTACTGACTCTCACTCTGGGTCAAAATGGACGTTAGACAGCGGAACTGTTCGAAACAGAGGCAAATTTTTTTGCTTCTGCCGGACGGTGGCCGATGCATTTTTGTTCCATTTGTAGACTGGATATAGTTTCGTCGGCCAGCTTCTGAGTTGAATGCATGGCGTGACCCTGTGAGCTGTGGATTGCATTTGGAATGTTTTTTCGACTGTGACCAACGTGTTGGTGTGAATTGTAGACTCAGAAAATGGCGCGATGCCTGTCGTGCAATGTTGTGGTGACCGTATGTGATTAAAATTTATCGCGTGGGCAACTGCTGATCTGTTGGCGACTTCTGCTACCATCAATGATGAACTGCAATTCTAATACTGTGATAAACATTCTGTGTGTTTTTCGTTGGCACAGGAGCAGAGCAAAGATGGGGTGATCCGTTTGCTATGAAGCTGAAACTAAGACTACCAGACTACCAGACTACCAGACCACCAGACTACCAGACCACCAGACTACCAGACTACCAGACCAGACTCTCACTCTGAACACCAAGTCTATCACAAGGCTTCTGGAATAATTGTACTATTTTGTATTGTCATTAAATCATTTATCAATTAATTCATTGTGAACAACTCAAGTTGCGGATCTCCTTGGATAACAAGTCTTCAACAAACACCATCACAACTCCTAAGTAATAAAATTGGCACCTTTATGTATAATCCTCCTTAATGCAGTTGCGCTACTACACCCTAAACTGCATCCTTTCAATGAGGCATAACATACACAAAAAGAAGTTCTAAACTTTACGTTTCACGTGGCCTTTATGTGTGTGTGCGTACGCTATCTCTTTGTTATGAGTGGGTTTCCTTCACTCCTGCGTTATAATTCCTGAATTGGACCGCCGTGGAGCATGGGAGATATAATTACAACTACTCACAGTTATAGAGTAGGCACTCTACTCTATAACACTATAAGTATTCTTCTTCTTCACGTTCATTTGCTGTACACTCTGGCAGACAGTTTTTGTTGTTTGTCCACATCTGAACTTTAGTCTTAGTCCAGAACTTGAGTTCAGCATGCACATCCGTTATGCAGACCTGGACTATTTATATTGAGACTGTTGGTTCGCCGACTTCCAAGAAAACACTCTTAATTAGCTGCCTCCTATGATATTATTGTTGGGTGGTGGCGGGGGTGCAGTGGATCTACCCCCCCCCCCTCCCCCATGGGTCCCGGAACCAGCACAGAGAAAATTAGTACTGGAATATTTTCAACATTTAGGGGAAGGAAAGGAGAAAGGGAAGACAACTGGTCATCCTCCTTCATTGTGTTCTGCCTGTTAACATGTGAAGGACTCCAATTCAAGACCTCACTGGTGTTATAACAAAATCAATTTCTTCTTCCATATAACACACGAAAGACCCCAATGAAGACCTCACTGGTGTTGACAAAAACAATTTCTTCTTCCATATAACACACGAAAGACCCCAATGAAGACCTCACTGGTGTTGACAAAAACAATTTCTTCTTCCATATAACACACAAAAGACCCCAATGAAGACCTCACTGGTGTTGACTGTTACAACAAAAACAATTTCTTCTTCCATTAAACACACGAAAGACCCCAATGAAGACTTCACTGGTGTTGACTGTTATAATAAAAACAATTTCTTCCATATAACACACAAAAGACCCCACTGGTGTTGACAAAAACAATTCCTTCTTCCATATAACACATGAAAGACCCCAATAAAGACCTCACTGGTGTTGACTGTTACAACAAAAACAATTTCTTCTGCCATATAACACACGAAAGACCCCAATGAAGACCTCACTGGTGTTGACTGTTATAATAAAAAAAAAATTCACGTCTTAAGGCATATTTGATTTATGGTGTTAGACCTATTCTCGTACTGACTAATGAGCTCTCTTCCAGAAGGAATGTGATGAAGAACAATGCTTTGCAAAGTATAAGAGATAACTGATGATAGTGAAGATGCTGGCAAAGAAAATCTCTAGTGAACTGAACTTACTCATGTCTCAGCTCCATCTCCGCCCACTCACACCACACGCTGGCCAGGTCATCCACGTGCTTGTATGGGACTTGGGTTGCCTTCTCAAACACAATTCTGGCCTGTCACAACATTAGTTGTAGAGAGTTAATACATGTTAATTATGACTGTCGAACTGTATAAACAGATACAGGATAAAGTATGAGTCTCACATTTGAAATACACAACCGCCTTTGTGGGTTCTGGGGAAAACAAGAATCCCACTATCTTATTGACTAGTATGTCGTACGAGTCAAACTAATTAGGGGTTTCGTTCGAAGTTGGGGTGCATCTGCCTGAGAGGCAAGGAACCAACAGTCTGCAGACAAGTAAGCCAGATATGTAAAACAGACATGCAAGCTATGATACAAGACTAAAGTTCAGAAATGGATGAACAACCAGAACTTTCCACCATAGTTTAAAGCTAGTCAATATAAAGAAGAGGAACAATATATATAAATAACTAAACAAGAGATCTATGTGGTTCCCCTCCCCTCCCCCAAGTATTTCTTTATATATTCCATATTTTTTATTCAGCACAGTAACTTCTCCTTCTGCATACATCCGAATATGTAACTACATTGTGCCCGTTTACAGCATGGCTGTGATATTTGCGCTTTTCAGCTAGCACATCCGACTTCTGCAAGGTGTTTGTTGATTGGGTTAGCCTTTACGCTTAGTTTCATAGGAAATTGCAGTCTCATTGCTGTGTGGTCATCTTTTGTTTCCCAGGTCAGAGATTATGCCCCACTTCAGGCCAGTCCAGAAAAGCCACGCAATGCTGGTCAGCCCTCAAGAGAAGGCAGGGGCAGAACATCAGCATCCCCCCCCCCCCACCCATACAAGGAAGCTTCCATAAGTGCTCTTGTACTGGGCTCACCCAAGGAATCATCACATCCTGCTCATGAATGATAACCGCCCTTCCACACACTGAACATCTCATTCACCATGGGCTTTGTTTTTAGAAGCCATAACCGCCCTTCCACACACTGAACATCTCATTCACCATTGGCTTTGTTTTTAGAAGCCATAACCGCCCTTCCACACACTGAACATCTCATTCACCATGGGCTTTGTTTTTAGAAGCCATAACCGCCCTTCCACACACTGAACATCTCATTCACCATGGGCTTTGTTTTTAGAAGCCATAACCGCCCTTCCACACACTGAACATCTCATTCACCATGGGCTTTGTTTTTAGAAGCCATAACCGCCCTTCCACACACTGAACATCTCATTCACCATGGGCTATGTTTTTAGAAGCCATAACCGCCCTTCCACACACTGAACATCTCATTCACCATGGGCTTTGTTTTTAGAAGCCATAACCGCCCTTCCACACACTGAACATCTCATTCACCATGGGCTTTGTTTTTAGAAGCCATAACCGCCCTTCCACACACTGAACATCTCATTCACCATGGGCTTTGTTTTTAGAAGCCATAACCGCCCTTCCACACACTGAACATCTCATTCACCATGGGCTTTGTTTTTAGAAGCCATAACCGCCCTTCCACACACTGAACATCTCATTCACCATGGGCTTTGTTTTTAGAAGCCATAACCGCCCTTCCACACACTGAACATCTCATTCACCATGGGCTTTGTTTTTAGAAGCCATAACCGCCCTTCCACACACTGAACATCTCATTCACCATGGGCTTTGTTTTTAGAAGCCATAACCGCCCTTCCACACACTGAACATCTCATTCACCATGGGCTTTGTTTTTAGAAGCCATAACCGCCCTTCCACACACTGAACATCTCATTCACCATGGGCTTTGTTTTTAGAAGCCATAACCGCCCTTCCACACACTGAACATCTCATTCACCATGGGCTTTTGAACATCTCATTCACCATGGGCTTTGTTTTTAGAAGCCATAACCGCCCTTCCACACACTGAACATCTCATTCACCATGGGCTTTGTTTTTAGAAGCCATAACCGCCCTTCCACACACTGAACATCTCATTCACCATGGGCTTTGTTTTTTCAGAAGCCATAACCGCCCTTCCACACACTGAACATCTCATTCACCATGGGCTTTGTTTTTAGAAGCCATAACCGCCCTTCCACACACTGAACATCTCATTCACCATGGGCTTTGTTTTTAGAAGCCATAACCGCCCTTCCACACACTGAACATCTCATTCACCATGGGCTTTGTTTTTAGAAGCCATAACCGCCCTTCCACACACTGAACATCTCATTCACCATGGGCTTTGTTTTTAGAAGCCAGAAGTAGGCAAGCTCGACTTGGGATTTTGATTACCTTTGCTTGTTTTACATGTTAGACGTTTACTGCAGTGGACTTCTGCAACAACTATAGTTCCATATAGCATTTCCCACACAGCTGCTTAAGGGCATCCAGTGTGGCAGTATACAAACAGATGGGTCTGTTTACTGTCTCCCAACATTATGGTTTACGAACTGCATCTCCAGGGACTATCAGCTCTGAGAATCCCTAACAGTTTTCTTCTTCTTATACCACAGATATTAATGTAAATATATTCAACACAGTATCATTATAATTAATCTCTTAATCTAGGATTAAGCACCTTTAACCCCCCCCTCCCCCCATGTTTTTTCTTGTCAATGATACAATATTTAATCCAAAACAATAGAAGCCACAATTCAGGTTAGCCAGAAAATACAAGCTATGCCACATCACATGCCAGCTTACTGGTCCAGGTCAAAATAAGTTACTCACGTCTTCAATCTGATCGTTCTTCTCATAAAACTTGGCAAACTCCACCCACAGTGTGTGAGGCCGCCCGGAGGCTACCTTGGGGTCCACCGTCTGCACGGCTTCTGTGTAGGTATTGATGATCTGGGAGACAACAGAGGGTTTGCACATATAACTGATGCACATATGAATTACACAGGTCGACATAAGCAACTACAATATGTACATATAAACCCCAAATATGAACTCAGATGATACTTCTTCTGCTTTTCACCTTCGTATGAAGCTGAGATCGTCAAGCAACTCACACCCTTTATAGACTTGTTCATCTTCTTCTTAGTGCTCACAGGCTGTAAACTCTGGAGGAAAGTTCTGGTTGTTTCTCCACTTCTGGACTTTAGACTTGTTTCAGAACTTAAATTTGGCATGCATATCCACTGGTTGAGTCTTATGCAATTACCAGGTCACAATATTAATTGTCTTTTTCTAATTAACAATGTCAGATCAATTATTTTACAATAGTTGTTTTAGCAATATATGTTGATACATGTGTATACTTGAAAAAATGTGTGTCTACAATGCCAACAGCAGCCATTTCGGAAAAAAAACATATGTATGCAGAATCTTAAAATTTCACTCAAACATAAATAGTGTGAAATAAATGACTGATTCATGATCTTTAATCATTATTTTAAGCCTATTACAATAGTTGATTATCTTCAATATATGGGGTAGAGAGACTATGAGAAAACTGAATTTTAAATCTTTAAAGTCATATAACATATGGTTTATAGAATGAAAGTATTCTTACATTTGCGTGTCTGCATCCTTTACAGAGAAAATAAATACATTTAACAATTAAATGCACCAGCAACATACGGTTTGCTTTCTTTTATTCGAGTAAGAGAGAGAAAGTGAAACAGTCATTGTAAAGTTAATATTAGCAATAAGAATGTTTTCTCAAATTCAATGGTTTGTTAAGTTTTCTTGCATGAATTACTCTAGGTATTTTTATGTCTTTTTGCCTCCAAAGCTGCATCCTTTTATAAGTTTTTAAGAAGATTTCATTAAAACGGTAAACAAGTCCACGTGCACATGTAATATATTTGTCGCCAAGGAAATCTCATACAGGGGCTAATCAAATGTGACCAAACAATACAGCCAATGAAATATCGGTATGGTCAGTACTTCCTAAGTTTCTAACCTAGCAGGCAACGCTTGATTTTGCTTTCATATTTAAAAATCAGAAAGGCACTTGGAATTACCATTACAATGATATATAATATGTCTAAGAATAATATTTGGTCACATGGGCTGCTAGGTGTCAAACCTTGCTATTTTTTGGTATAAAATGTATTTTCTCTTACAAATATTTGTGAGGTGGGATCTTTATTATACACTTGTCAGTGCTAAGCTGCTTACAAATGACATTCTGTATGGTTGTCATTGGCAGAGGAGCACAGCAACTTTGGGTGACTCATCTGTTATGAAGTTGGGACTGCATTACCTAATTACCAGTGTTAAATAAAGGCAACTTTGGGTGACTCATCTGTTATGAAGTTGGGACTGCATTACCTAATTACCAGTGTTAAATAAAGGCAACTTTGGGTGACTCATCTGTTATGAAGTTGGGACTGCATTACCTAATTACCAGTGTTAAATAAAGGCCATAATATAAAATGGGATGTCCATCCTTTGTGTCTACAGGAATTAAATCTCATCACATAAACAGAACAAACTAAGAAGAGTTTGGAGGCAACTGAGATGTGGTTTTTGAGAAGAATGTTGCGAATACTGTGGACTGCCAGAATAATTAATAATGTTTGCCTGGAAATGGCTAATGAAAGTAGAACACTGTGTACAACAATGAGAGCAGAGACAAAGTTCTTTGGTCAAGGGATAAAAAAAGAGCACTGGAAAAAATCATGATGACTGGAAAGATCTCTGGTAGAGGAGGTAGAGGCAGACCAAGAGAAATGATGGTGGATGGCTTAAGACAGTGGCATGGAGGAATATCATCAGTGGAATTGATCCAGAACACCAAAGACCGAGATCTGAGGAGATGCATGAAAGCCTACGCCAGCTGGCAAGTCACTTGTTGATATATTAATCAGAAAGAAAAAATATGAAAGTATCTTATTACAATGAATGCAGAAGTCTCTTACCTCCCTGGGTTTTCCCTCAAATAAAGACACTCTCTTGTGCCATTCATGAACATTGTGTGGGTTTTGTCGCAGCAGCACACTTCAGGATGAACAAACAAAACATTTGTCAGTAACCTCCAAAGTGCTACACGTAATATCACATTATCATTTAACTGTTTTTTTTTTCATTCCCTTTTTTCTTCCTTATTTGTCCACAAATTAATTGTATTCTTCTTGTTAGCATTCACCAGCTGTAAAACTCTGGAGGAAAGTTCTGGGTGTTTGTCCACTTCTGAACTTTAGTCTTGTTCCACAACTTGAATTTTGCGTGCCCACCTCTTCTGCATATCAGCTTATTTACATGCAGACTGCTGGTTCATCATCTCTCAAGCAGATGGACTCTGACTTCAGTTTCAATTAGTTGCCTTTTAATCTACCCCCCCCCCACAAGTCCTTTACTGACCTACATCTGGATCAATGGCAGTAAGTTACTGGTCAAGCAAAGTCCACTGCTGAACTATAAACCACATGGGGTTGTTCTGGCATGTAATACATGAAATTACTGACAGCAGGGAACATGACAGTTATCTGTAAATATCGTGCAACTATGGTGATGTGGATGACCTGAACAAGCATATTACCTGTTCAATAGCAGCGGCCGCCTGTCCATGAGGTTCTCCAGTCTTGCTAATCTCAGTTCTAGTTCAAGGTCATCTGAAACATTTAAAGATAATTTTTGAAAAGAGAAACAGAATATAAGGCATCAACCGACAAATCAACCCTTAAGTTTTCAACAATTCGCCACATATTTCTGGCTCACCTGAACAACAACACAACACTTTCACATATTTCTGTCATGGAGAGTTGTTTTTACTGTAAAGAAGAAGACGAAGAATAAGAAGAGGTGGAGGACAGAAGGGGGAGGAGCGGAAGAAAAAGAAATCTAAAATATATAGTTTCAGTATAAGCTCTAATTCCTGTGCCAGAAGTGAACTGGGTAACTATTGAGAACAAGGAAGGCAAGAAACCTCTTTGCTGTGTTGGATTTCGGCATAAGCTGAATGAGCCAAAGCTTAGATTCACAAATGCATTTTTCTTTTTATTTATTTTTAAATTCAATTTTATTTTAATATATTTTACCACCAACCCCCCTCCCCGCAGAAATTTTCTAATTTTTATGTATATTTTCTTAGGCTTTTATTTATTTGAACTTGTAATAGCTGAATTAAACTGAATAAAATAATTAACTCTACTGTCTTCCTAGCTTGGGTCATCTCAGTCACACTCAGTGTAAGCTTTAAGATACATATACACACACATACACAAACAGTAAGGGCCTCGAGACTTTGAATTGCTTAACACCTAATCAAGTCTAAATCCGAACATGCCTCGCTGCCACATTTGCTTCGGACACATTATACATTTCTTTCCTAACCTGTTTGAAAGATCAAGATCCAAACCCTTACCTTCTTCACTAGCTCCTTCTTCTTCCATGGTCTCCATCTTGGCAGCAATCATACTCTTCTCGAACTGAGCACAAGCATCAAAGACTTGCGTGAAGTCTCGGACAGTTATCACCGTCTGAATGGCTTCTTCATAAATATCTCTGGCCTGAAGGAAGATTCCAGGAGGGCAGTCAACATCGTGAATCAAAGCACATTACTTTTTCTGTCACCCTTAAAAAGGTGGTAAAAACACCGTGTTGTGGTTAACAGCTAGGTTGCGAACTTCTGGCTCAATACACCCAATTTCCGCAAAGTCCTAATTAATTCCTCTCTCTCCTTTACAAAATACTTTTTAAGCAACAGTGGATTTATTCCCATTCCTCCAAAACAGGGCCAGAGAACTCACACAGTGTAAGAAAATACAAACATAAACTCCCCGTGTGGGTCACAGGGACCCGTTTTGTGGGAGAGCAAAATAGATCCACTGCCCCAACAAGCATGTAGTAAAGGATTTATTAGAGAGGTTTCTGTGAAGCCAGAATGTATGCCTGAGAGTTAAGACACCAACAGTCTGCATACAAATCAGATAGATCTGTTAAACAGATATGCACACAAAACTTGAGTTCTGGGACATAAAAAAAGTCCAGAAGTGGACAAATTACCAAAAGTTTTCCGCGGATTTTACGGTCGGTGAACACTAAAGAGACCAACGATTCTTCTGTTTACCTCTGTCGTCCTCTGCCATACTGGCCTAGTATCTATTATCATCATGCAGCACAATGGTTCTCAGCCTGGGGATGCCAGGAAGTTTCAGGGGGGGGGGGGATAAAGCAATTTTGAAATTGAGTCTGTAATTGTAATAAGCTGTTACAATTACATATCTGTTTCAGTTTAATTATAGTAAAATATTTGTACAAATGTTATTGGATTCAGTATCTCACAATACACCCTCATGTGGCCAAATTTGCTATAAATACTTGTTTACCTTTTTCCTCCACATTCCCCTGTGAATGCAATGTTCAGCTCAAACAGTTATCAAAACAGTACTGCCAGCTTGGTGTGGAGAGTGATCTGCCTTGTGCCTTGTCCAACATCAAACGAAAAGTAGCAGATAACATTACACAACAGTGTCAACCATCACACTGATATTACTAGTTGTTGTGTGTGTGTTCTTTAACATTTTGATTGATGTTTTCACTAAATCAATCACACACATACACAAAAAGAAGAAGAAGAAGGAGAGAGGCAAAAGTATTCAGGAGCCAGTCCAACTTGACATTTAAGCTTTCCTGAATGCTGAATTAGGAATTGAGATCCTAGAACTTGGGACACCTCATATGCGCTCCGTCCACATCTTCGACGCAAGCGAAAAGTTCCAATTGTGATTGTACCAGTAACTGATTGTATACCCCTCTCGCCTTTCCCTTGAGTACTGAGTATCAGCCAGATCCCCTGGTAACTACTTGCAGCACAATTCTCCTCAGACCACCAAGAAGCTTTCTACAACATTTAAGTTTTTAAAAAAACTTGATTCCCTTTGCTAACTTATTAGTATAGATTATTTTTTTCTATTTCAATTCTCGCGTTCACAAGCCCCATAAAACTGATACACCTACCCTCTCAAAATGACCACCTCTGATGTAATAGTCGGCCAATGAATTCCACAGCACACCAATCTGGTCTGTGTACCTCTTCAGCCCCTGCCGTAAAATTGGCTCCACTTTTAGTGAGGTAACCTTGTCTGGGTTCTTGGCTATCAACTCACACAGCTGGTTCCACAGCTAGAGAATATACCACAAATAAATCATATACACAGAAATTTCAAAAGTACAACAGTAAAATTTACAGCAGACGTTACAGAACAAAACATACCAATATAGCTTTTTTTTTTTTTTAAATTTTGAGGGTATTTGTGAATAATGATAACAACCAGTTTCTAAAACACAGCTATTTAAATTATTTTAATAAGGGGCCAAAATTTTGAAAACAGGGATGGTCACAGGCCAGAGGTTTGAGTCCTAGCATTAAAAGATCATTAATACAGTAGAGCTTTCAATGATCTACAGGCCACTTGCTAGCCCGCCAGTTTGAACAGCCCTGTTCTAGAGTATCATGGTATGTTGGTCATTTAATGCAAGCAGATATTTTTACTACTAACCCCATGTGGATTCCTGGGTCACACTCCAGGGAGGGAAGAGAACAAGCCCACTGGTTCACCTAACAAGCATGTTGTACAAAGCAACTAATTAGGGGTGTTTCCTTCTGCATGTAAGGTGAGGAACCAACAGTCTGCACAGTTTTTCCTCTAGAACTGCAGCGTGAAAGGTAAACATCTCAAGGAAGCGAATCAAACATGTACGAATCCCAGAAACTACATTCAACCGTACAACCATACAGCAGTTATATTGCAGCACAACAACACAGTTTAAAAGTTAAAACTGAAATATTAGAAATGACAATACAGCAATACAATAGAACTGATATGTTTATAATGCCAGATAAGAAATTACTATTACCTGGCTAACATTAAAAAAAATTGAAAGTCCTAACTAGCACACAAACAGAGATAGCCAACCTGATGTTTTGATTTTCCTTCGACTGACACAAAGCTCTCATCATTGATAACGTCAGCCAAACGCTGAGCAGCTTCATCTAACCAGCCAATGGAAATGAGGAAACTGATGTACTCCTCGGAGCCTTCTTTCTGGAGCTATCAGGACACAACCACAACCACAGGTCAGGTCAGTGAGTTCAGCATAAAATGTCAAGGACACTTTTACAAAACCTTCAGGGGTATTGGGCATAAAGGGCAAGACCTATATTTTATAGACTAGTCGGCACTTAGTGGGTGATGTGGTCAGCATCACACCGGCCGCCTTTACTTTCCAGGACTGTACCTGGTACCCATTTAAAGCTGACCCAACCTGGGAGCCAAGTTCATTAAAAAAAATTTGATAGGCGGTGCCAGGATCCAAATCTTTACCTTCAGATCCGCAGGCAAGCATCTAGTCGCTACACCACAGCAGCATGATGTGTAGAATATAATTTAAAAAAGTCTCCCCTAGAACTCCAAAGCATGGCTGTCATACTGATTTCGTCATTTTTTCTTTTGTTACACCTTTTTTTTCTGCTGTGTCAGTTTATATCGCAACAGTGAAATTTACACTATCTGACCAGCACAACATTAAACTTTAATGAGCAATGTTAACCTGCTCAAGTGTGCAAACAAACATATGAAATTTTCCAAAGACACACCACACACACAGCCATAGACAAAACAGCCACAGACACACCACACACAGCCATAGACAAAACAGCCACAGACACACCACACACACAGATACCACACACAGCCATAGACAAAACAGCCACAGACACACCACACACACAGCCAGACAAAACAGCCACACCACACACAGCTACAGACAAAACAGCCACACCACACACACAGATACCACACACAGCCATAGACAAAACAGCCACAGACACACAGCTACAGACAAAACAGCCACAGACACACCACACACAGACACACCACACACACAGCCATAGACAAAACAGCCACAGACACACCACACACAGCCATAGACAAAACAGCCACAGACACACAACACACAGCCACAGACACACCACACACAGACACACCACACACCACACACAGACACACCACACACAGACACACCACACACACAGATACCACACACAGCCATAGACAAAACAGCCACAGACACACCACACACAGATAGAAAACAAAACCAGAAGCCCCATGTAAATAACTTCACCTTCAAGAACCTTCTGTAGACCCTGACGGATGTTTCCGGTAAGTCATGGGAGCGCACAAACTTCAGATACAAGGGCCAGATACGGCCATGCTGTGTGATGGGGAGAGACCGCAAAGCCCGATCGAAGCAACGCCGGGTACGAGTTATTTTTCCCTGGTCAATTAAAAAGTGAAGATAGTCCAACCAAATCCTAGGCATCTGAAAAATAAATGGTGATGGATGGATTTATTAATCAGCTAACAGTAGCAATTCATCCGTCAAATAAATTGTCAGGAACAGAAATTAACAAGCTTGGAGTAACAATTTATCCGTCAAATAAATTGTCAGGAACAGAAATTAACAAGCTTGGAATAAGAAATTTATCCAAAATAAAGAAAACAGAACCATAGCCCCTACAGCAAGCATGTTGTAAAAGGTTAATTAAAGATTTTATAAAATCAGATGTGTTAGGTTGAAAGGTGCAGATATCGCAGTCTAGCTGTAAACAACAACACAATGTACTTGATATTGCGATGCAGAAGATGATTATCTAGCTGCTACAAAAATTAGGTCTGTGTCTTTGGCTTAGGCGCACTTTAGGATACGCAACTAACTTTTCAACAAAAAGGAAGACCTGTATCAATTACGACAAAAAATTACCTAATACATACAGATATGCGTTTTACAATGCGCATGACAGTAATCTTGACTTATGAGCCTGGTAACACTAAAGTAATTGTTACAATTTAGTTACAGTGAAACTTTGGTTCTTGATCTTAATTTTTTTCTTCAAGTTTGTTTGAGAACGGAGGTTCCACTTTTCCAACAATGGCATGTCGTGGTCAAAAGTGAGAAGATGCTTTTTCTGGTAAATCTATTGGTTATATCTGCGTAAAGGTGGAGCAGGCAGTTTGTATTGTGGTTTACAGCTAGGCTGCAATATCTGCACTTTTCAGCGCAGCAAAACAATAAATTTGTCGCCTTTTAGAACAAGGAGGCAATGGGTCTATTCTTGTCCCCTCAAAACAGGGTTGCAAACACCTCACAATCAATCCCTGTATTATCTGTTTTCAGTGAATACATTTTACTTTTAAAAATTAAAAACAACATACGGTCAGAGTATTTACCTTATGCATGAAGGCCAGAGATCGCTCAAATGCACTGTTGATCTCTTCATATGCTGGGTCAGTGACTATCATGCCTCTGACTTGAGATCGGAGCAGCTTCAGGTAGCTGTACCATAACTTATAGCTAGAGGGATGAGAAAATGGTCATGTAAAAATATCATATCCCATCTAACTGTACCATAACTTATAGCTAAAGGGATGAGAAAATAGTCATGTAAAAATATCATATCCCATCTAATTGTACCATAACTTATAGCTAGAGGGACGAGAAAATAGTCATGTAAAAATATCATATCCCATCTAATTGTACCA